TGTGGACTTCTGCGAATAACGACGGTCCGTGGACCATTCTTCACCGGATAAGCCTTGAACTCAGCTTCGTGCTCGTAGCCGCGGCCTAGTAGCTGATTGTCTCCGGCTATGAAGCCGTTTTCTTCATGTGCCCTCTTCCAGCTGCGAGATGACAGTCCGTGCACTACGCGAGCAAAGTCCTCGAGCTGTACCTTTCTGAGTCCGCCTGCCCAGCTGACCTCTGCATATTCGTACTCGGACTGGTAGGTTTCATCGAACATGCCAACGCTTGCCTTTGGGTGATTACAGGTGCAAGACCACTTACATCGATGGCTGTTGGAGCTTTTGCTTCGGTCGTGTCGAGGGTTTGTTGTCTTTCACTAGCAGACGTATCGACGATCGGTTGCTTCCTACAGGCCGTGACTTGAGCCTTAACGGGTTCTGTAGCCAGGGTCTCGATTACCCCTCCTTAAAGCTGTGCTGCCACACGGTTCAGGCGCAGTTTCAACTAACGTGCAAGGCTTGGGCTGCTGGATTGCCTTGTGCTGGGGGATACTCTAGAATAATGCTTGCAGGCTAATTGCGAACTGAGAAACAGGCGGAACGGACAAAGCCGGGGAACCGGGACAGTACGACGGACATGTTGCCGCTGCGAGTGTTCTGTCTATGTAGCCTCCGGTTTTCCTGCTGAAGATGACGGCAGATGTTCACATTGGGCACCCGTCTAGGGCGGAGGAGCTCACTTTGCTAAGGCCGTGTCAAGTGACATAAAAGCGCTAAGCTTCTTCCTGCGGTTTCACGGGCACACTGCTCAGGTGAGACTTCTTTTCCTGCGTCGCATGAGTCAGTAGGTTCGTGTGAAACGTTCAACATGGCTGTCGCAAACGATAAGGCTTTGGCCTTGCTCTGACCGGCAGGTAGAGACCACTGATTCGGCCGGGCAGCTGCCATTCCAGTGGCTTCCCTTTCAGACGTCTTGCGCTAGGTCAGGAAGCGTGTAGATGATCCACTGCACTTCACAGGTCTGGGGCCCCTGACTTCCTTGCCACACGTCATCAGACGCTCGACCCCTGTGCCGATGCAGCACATGCGTGGAAGGTTAACATGCTCTGAAACATTGCCTGTCATGCGGCCCTCTGGCACGTGCACTTCAATCGGGCAGCTCCATAAAGCAATTTCACCTGACAAGATGTGGCACACCGACATACTCAACGATCCTCTGACGATGATTCCGCCTGTGCCCGGCCTTCTCTCCATTATAATGGAAGCATGACCACCTGTCATATCCCCAAATACGGAAGGAAGCTTCTTTGTGAAGCCACCTGTAAGACCATGCGGCCTGCGTGCACATGTCGTGCTCGCTTTCCAGGGGCCCCGTTATCGATTCTCTTGATCTGCTTGGTTGCGGATCAATAGGACTGAAGGAGTTTAGGGTCTAGGGTTTTAAGGTGGCTCGTAGGCGTTTAGGACTTCGGATTTTGGGGGAGTTTCGAAAATCAGAGGTTGAGGGTTGAGGACTTCGGGTGGTAGGGTCTTTAAGTGTGCGGATAGGCTTCGAAAATCCGAAATTCTGAACCCTAAAACCCTAAATCCTATTTAGCAGTCTGAGCAGTCTACAGACACCACCTCTAAACCTTAGACCCTAAACCCTTATCTAAACACAAGCCCGTCTGAAGCACATGCAACGAAGCAGTTTCAGCACAGGTTCTTCTGCTGAGGGACAAAAGCATCTTCACTACAAGAAGTACCTACAATGACAAAACATGACATATTCCTTACTATGGACACTCCAGGATTTCAACCATCAGCAGTAAGGTGTCAGGCCCTAACTAGGCTTCAAAGTTGGGGTTCCAAGTGAAGGTCCGAAGCTCGAACTTAGACGGAAAATCCTCGAAACAGCTACGGTGTGGACCCTGTTATAAGAAGTACCTCTATCATATGTGGACTGGTTGTCAACATTATGGTCCCTTGTTGGGTCCCTAATATGATACGGCACCTATTATTTTAGGGTACCCCAAAATGGACCCCTGGTTTGACAACTACACATGTGTTCAGGAGTGTTGTGCTCAGGAAAACGGCAGGTCTGAACGACCACTATAGAAGCTTAAAGGTGCAGCACGGCCTTTAAGTTCAATTCACAACTCGAAGGTGCTGCTGCCTCATCTGGGTGTGGCAGATGCAGTACACCCTAAACCCTAAATCCAAAATCACAAAAAACCCAAACCCCTGAACCCTAAACCCCAAACCCTAAACTGCTTAAACCCTACAGATCCCTTCAAGGCACCCTTCAAGCAGCCCAAACCCTAAACCCGAAAGATTGAATTTCTCTATAGTGCCCTTATAGTACCCTGTATAGTATCCCTTACAGTATTCCTTATAGGAACCCTTATAGTATCCTGTATAGTATCCTTCATAGTATCCTTTATAGTACCCCTTATAGTACCCTTATAGTATCCTTCATAGTATCCTTTATAGTACCCCTTATAGTATCCCTTATGGTAGTCCTTATAGGAACCCTTAATTACCGAATATACCTCAAATTATAGTAGGATCCCTAGTAAGATTTAAGGTATATTCCTTAACTAAGGGATATTGCAGTCTCTGGGTTCCTTATAGGAACCCTTATGAGGGCCTCCTCCACTGTGGAAGACGAAGCTGCTGTCATCGCTGATCTCCTGTGCATCACGGCTTTCTGATGGTAGAAGTTAGAAGCTGCCCCCACTCTGTACTTGGGGGGTCGGGGGACTTAGTAAGTACCTAGTAAGTAGACTTATAAGTACCCTAAGAGGGACCCTAACTGGGGTTATGGTACTTATAAGTCCCTAAAATAACCAGTTACTAAGTCCCCCGACCCTCCAAGCACTCTGTAATAGTGACCATAAGGGTTATATAGGATTATATTAGGGCCCTATTATATTCCTATTATACCACTATTACAGGGTGGGGGCAGCTTCTAAGGTAGAAGTCCGAAAGTTGGAAACCCAGCAGCCTCAAGCCTTAAGAGTAAGGCATAGGGAATCCCAGGACTAATTGTCCTTAATCCAGCTTCCAACTTTTTGGGGTTTACTAAAGGGGGTTTATTTAGTTTAGGGTAGGGTGGCTTAGGATTCCCGTGCCTTCGAGGGTTCTATGTGGCTCTACCCTAAGGCTCCAAATAGCCCAAAGTAGGTACCATGAATAGACTTTAGACCCCGAAGTAAGTAGTATTTGCATGCTTGGAGTCTTAGGGTCATAGGCCTTCCAGGATTTAAAGACTTCGGATTTTCTATTCAGGATTGATTTAGTTAGAGGTGCTATGGGCCTGTGGCTTTCGCGTGTTGGGGCTCAGGCAGGGTTTCCGGCATTAGGTCGACACTTTGAAGGTTTAAAGTTTAAGGGGTTGGAGGGCGTGGGGCTATGAGAAGTCAAGACATGTATGGGACATTCTGGAACCGAAACTATACATAGCGTTGCCGCCATAACAAACAAGACTTTGCGTTGTATTATTCAGACCCCGATACAAACCCTTCTACCTTAAAGCCGCTCTTACAGTAGTCCTAGCAGAACCAACAGACGTGTACAAGGCGCCACAAACAACAATCCAAACCCTGAAAGCTATCAAAACCCAAGTTATGCAACCTGACCTTTAAACTCTAAACCCTAAACCCTAAACCCTATAAACCCTAAGCCCTAAACCCTAAAAAAAAAAAACCTTCTCCCCAAACCTCGAACTCGGAGCCTCCAAAGGCAACGAACGAAGCACCCATCTGCCTAAGATCCTACAGAGGCCTAACTCAACAGACCGGACTCCTAACCTCTACGAAACCACAAGCCTCAAAAACACCCAAAATGCCATGCACATCCGTAACGTCACACACACAGAGACACTGAAAACCCTTAACCCTACACTGCCCCAAACCCCTATAAACACCCTACAACCCAAAATGCCCTAAACCCCCTTTTACACAAATCGGTTTAGGCTGCAGGGTTTAGGGCCTAAGGGTTTAGGGGCTTACTTGAAGGATCATGGGACTTAGTAAGTAGTTAGTAAGTAGACTTATAAGTACTCTAAAAGGCACCCTAATTGGGTTATGGTACTTATAAGTTCCTAAAATAACCAGTTACTAAGTCCCCCGACCCTGGAAGTAGGGGTTTCAACAAGGGACACAGCTGAGCGAAGTCTGGTCTTTGGCTCCTCGATGCCTGCATTGCGCTGGAGCTCCCTGCCTTGGCATTCAAACCCAGAGAACCCGATGCCCCTGAATTGAGGAAGATACCTTAAAACACAATCCTAAGCCCCCCATTGTTTAAAGGGACATTCCTTAATTGAGGGCCCTAAACCCAGAGAACCCAATACCTCTTGATTAAGGAAGATGCCTTCAGACAAAATATTACGCCCCCTATATTGTTTGAGGTATATACCTTAATTAAAGGGTATTGGGTTCTCTAGGGGAACAGTGCCGGAAGGCAAGGTGGGAGGTGGGGCCGAGCTTCTTATCTGAACTGTGTCTTAATATTTTATTTTGTGTGTCTGTCTGTCTGTGTGTGTGTGTGCACGTTGGTTGGTGTTGTGTCTCTGTGTGTGTGCGCGCATGATTGTTGCTTGCTTCTTGTTCTTCGGCTGGGTTTAACAGCGTGTTGCCTGAGGTTGCGCTTATGTGCTAGGCTTTCGCGCCTGTTGTGTGTTTCGGGTTTGGGGTTGTGCATGCGGTGATGTTGGGTTTGGTGTTTGGGTATTTACATTGCTGAATGCGAAGTCTACTAATACGCCCGGAAAATCTATAGGTTGCTGTCTCCTCAAAGGCTACGGGTACAGCCATGGAGTACTCAAGACTCTTCGCTCGCACCGTCTCGTGCAATGCACTGAGTCACTAAGTGCGAAAGCCACAACAACACAGCTCTGTGAAGCCTTGTCACCAGTCTACCGGAAGTTGTGTTCAGCAGCACGACCCCCATGATTCAGAGGACTTGTGCGAAAGCTGCTCTCGATGATTTTTCCGGTGTCTGCCCCTCAGCGAGTCGTCCTGCTGCAGCTTGCGTAGCTACCTGCCAGAGAGGGGGACAGTTCGATCAGCAAAAGACGGTGCGAGTCAGTCAACACGAGGCCCCTCGGCTACTGAGCTGTGAAGCTGTTATCACCTTCAGGTAAACCGGATGTAGTCTTTTATTTCCAATGCTGGCCGTGTTCTAACATACATCAGATAGAGCATAGCAAGTGCAAAAACATGGATAAATGCTTTAATGCAATGGTGTACAAGCGTGAATAACTAGACGAATAATCGGAGCTAGGTGCAAACATGTATGCAACTTCAACTACGCGCGCCAACCCTTACAAGCATTGCTACTGTAAGCGGTAATCGTCATTATGAACACCATTATGACGCATGTCAATCTACAGTCTTGAAGGACTGTACAATCGTCATTATTCCGCCGCAATTTTATACCATAAAGAAGCCCAAAACCCTTTGCTAATTATTAAAGGCCCCTGTATGACCCTGCTTCCACCTTCCGCAGCGAGCCTGGCAGGAGGAGCCAGCCGCAAGGGTCGCCGAGCACTCGGCGGGCGAGTCGATGCCGGGCTGTGAGAGCTGGGCGGTAGGCGAGTGCCATCCAAAGTCTCATCCTCGGCATGCGTCTGTAGACAGATAGATCGAAAGATCGATAGATAGGTCGGTAGATCGATAGACAGGCACAGAATACCATATGCATGTATGTAATTTTCCATATGTATTTAAATCTGCATGTATGCACATACACACATATGGGAGCATCCTGTGTACATGTGTATGTGTACGCACATGCATACATACATACGTACATGCATACATACAGTCATTCATACATGCACATACCATGTCAGGTCATGCCATGCCATACCAACGTACATACATCCATGCATGTTCATTCATGTATATGGTTATCGATTAACTGGTGCAATTATTTGAACTTATAGGAATGGCATCAGGCTTTGACAGTTTGGGAGGTTTGCGGCTCATGAAACAATGACTACCATGAACATTGGAGATCTGAGCGTCGATGGCTTCCCGAATGCCGGCCTCTGCGCACATGGATACCTGCATTCGCTGAACTTTGTCAGCCATAAGCTTCGTGGCCATGTCCCGGCCATGCCGTTCAGCAGCATCTGCAGCCTGCTGCTTCCAGCGGCTCCGTTTTTCCTCTGCCTCAGCGACGCACTCGGGACGGAGGCCCCCAGCAACCCATTCGCGGCTGAAGACAGCGCTCGAGGTGCTTTCCTGTCAGTTGGGAATAAGGATTGGGGTTTGGGGTTTAGCGGTTGAGGGTGTAGGATTTAGGGTGGTGCTTGTCGACGAAACCGAATATTCATACATTACACATACATAATTATACATATAAGTTGCCCCATATCACATCTAGAAAGATAAGCACTTCCTTATCAATACAAATAAATGTGTATGTTAATATTGGTATTGCCCAAGACCGCTTCCTGCCAGGTCGTCTCGTGCTCTTCCCAGGGATGCCCGCAGGTGCAGACCCAGGAAACATGAAAGCCGCGGCAGGGACATGGCTTCCTTGGCTTCAACATGGGCTGAGAGGGTCCGGGTACTAGCAGGGCTGGTATAAGGGTTATAGAGGGCTTTCGAATGTTGGGTCTGTTAAGGGTTTCGGGTTAGAGGTTTAGGGTCTAGGATTCTAGTACTAGCAGGGCTGGTATAAGGGTTCTATATGTGGGCTTCCTTGGCTTCTGTATGGGATTTGTGGCTTTGAAGCGAGGTGCTACAATTAGAGCTCTACATTAAACACAGAGGAAAATTAAAACTATCCCAAACCCTAGCAAAGGTTCTATATAGTACTGGTCGGGTTGGTATACTGGTTCTAAGGGGGTTTCGGATGTTGGGTATAGGCATTTTTTGGTGCAAAAGTGGCCGAGATGAGTACCTCGTCACTATTCCCAGAGCTCTCGGCTTCCTGAGTCTTATACTGAAGCCTAAACTCTAAAACCTAGACCGTAAGCCCTACACTCGAACCTCGAAACCCTAAAACCTGAACACAAGACTCTGAACCCTAAGACCTAAACCCTGAAGAACCTAGCTTTTTGAGGACTTGTATAAGGAAATCATAGTAGGGAACCCAAAAAGAGGAAGGTTCTTCAGAGTCCAGGTAAGCCCTAAACCTTGCTGGCCGTAGAGTCAGAGCATGAAACATGGTGACCAAAAGGCCGAAAAGGAAACCCTTCCAATCCTGGGTGTAGTGCAGGGGCCTTAATGATAGCGTTTAGAATAAGGTTCCGTTTACAGGCTTTGATTATCAGGATTTCTAGAAGGGTCTAGGATTTGGTAATTGGGACATAATAAATTAAATTGGGGGGTTCTTTATGAGAGCAGTTAGTACCAGTTCACGCAGAAGCCTTATACGACAAGTCGATAATTATTACCCCAGACTTTCATAGTACCACACTTCCAGAAGCTAAACCCTGTCTGACCACTGAACTCCGCAACCCGGAAGTGTGAAATCCCGAACGTCAACCGCAGCAACAAGTGTGCGACCCTCCCTACACCGTATGCAAACACTGAACCCCTAAACCCAAACCGAAAGACGCTGAAACCGAAATGAGCCTATGCGAACATGAAGCTGTATAAATAGCACCTAATCTCCTAAAGCCACCAAGAATCCAAACATCCTTACCCGAAGACTCCAAATAGCACAAAATAGGTACCATTTTCAAACTTTAGAACAGTAAGTACGATGTAGGTACTATAGTATATATACTTTATACTTGGAACCTGTACTACGACACCCAAGAGTAACCTAGGAACAAAAAGGGTGCCCTTTTTGGTTTAAAGGGGCTTATAAGGGGACCTGAACCCTAAAAATCACTACCTTCTTAAGGGGGGGGAGGGTGTGACATCCCCCACCCCCCTCTCCCAGGCCTGAAATATTTCACACGCATGGTTCCAAACTGCTGAAATGGGGGGGGGGGTCTGACATCCGTGAAATTTCAGGGGGCCGTTGGGATGTGACATCATGACACGCCGACATGTTTGGCAGTAAGACGGCTCTCCTGCTTCTCTTGCTGGCAAGCTTCGCATGTGAACTCCAGAGCGCTCCCCACACTTCCACGGCTTTGCTGTGCTTGTCACCGTGTGTGTACGTGTGTGGTTTTGAGGTCTGGTTTGCGCACCCCCCCCCGCTAAGCAGAACACTACCGGGGCAGTGCACAACCCCGCGCAGCAACCCATTCCCCCCAGCCATCTGCCGAGCTATGTACTTCCATTGAATACTCGCAGCGCCGCTGCTACTCTGCCAGCTTTCTGATGCCCATGCATGCACGTGTATCCCCCCATAGTCTGCCCATTCCAGCAAACCTTACACTGCCCCGGTAGTGTTCTGCTTAGCGGGGCGGCATGAGGCGGGGACATGCCGATGGTTCGCCCATACTAGGCCCTGCCAGCTTTCTGATGGTCATGCCTGCTCCCGTATCCGCCCGATGCGGCCCCAGCAGAAGGATCGCACCGGGCCGCGCTTTTTAGGATGCTTGTGATTGCTCTTCGGGCTTTCGAGGCAGTCTTCAGTGCCGATCTCCGGTGGGGCCTGAAATATTTCAGAACGCTCTGGACATCCGTAGCAGTCCCTGACCCCTGAAATAAACCCCCCTTGGACATCAAGCTGCTGATGTTCTGGCAAGAAGCGCTGAAATATTTCAACATGTGACCCCCCCCTCAATATTTCAAGGATAAGGGGGTGGTGATCCCTAAAAAAAGGGAATAAGGGCCTACTCCAGGTCCTACCTAAACCTCATACTACCCTTATAGAGCCCTTTAAAGGAACCCTTAGAATCCCCTTTAAAGGAGCCCTAAGTCCCCTAAAGACTACGACACCGCTAGAAAAAAAAACGCCCCCAAAAACTCGAAGCCCGGCGTCTTGTCCTTGCCGGGTAAGATTTTGGTGCAACGGTACCTTTGCTGGAGGGTTCAGGGTTTTTTTTTTGAGCACCTTTTTCCGTCTGCATTTTTCCGTCTGCATTGCTGTCTTTGAGGGTTCAGGGTTTAGATCCTATAGGTTTTATAGGGTTGATAGGTTGTTGCAGGGTTTCAGGGCTTTGCAGGGTTGAGGCTTGAGGGTTGATATAGTGGGTCATTATAGGGTTTAGGGTCAAGGGCTTCGGCTTGTTGGTGCTTATAGGGTTTATAAAAGGCCGGGTTTAACAGGTTTAGGGTTTCGGGGGGGAAGGAATCTAAGGACAAAGAACAGGGATCATGTACGGACTACTCTTCAGCCCCCTATATTACTCATTCTACAACAAAAAGGGAACATACTCTGATATAGCAGCCTTGCAGCCAAAATGATATTCCTAATGTTACTCCCTTGTAGTCCCTCTAATACAAGTATACTACAGTATTTTCTACTCAGGTACGTTCTACCCAGATTAGCGCACACCACCAAGTCAAACAGGTGACTCACTCTGCCAAGGTACGGGGGCTCACACGTCTTATTGTGGTCTCGGAGGTGGTGCTTGCAGCCGCACCGGGCCTGCGCAGGCAAGCAAGGCAACGGGGGATACGATGGGGCCTGTCCTTGAAACGAGCAAAAGCATGCATTAGCTTTTGCAGGCTTTCTTGTGGTTCTGCAATGGTAATGGTTTGTTACGGCATGTTTTCTGGACTTACTTGCCAGCATATGCTGTTATAAGTGTTCCTTCGACGAGCCGGGGAAGTGTTTGGGAAGGTCTTCGGATGTAAACGGGCCTTAACTCCTTTGCCCTGAAACACGAAACCCTCGGCCTCCTTCTACCCACCAAAACACAGCCCTTACAAACCCCCGGCAAAGAAACCACAAAAACCTGCTACTTGCAAGTGTTGCAGCTAGAAAAACCTCTTGCGAGCCGCTAGCATCTCTCTCTCTTTCGCTCGCCCTCTCTTTCTCCCAGACCCGTCTCGTTAGAAACAAGGTTTACCCGAAACCCTACACCAAGAGAAGCAAAAGGCCTCTACAGCCTAAACCCCGTGTTTCTTCATCTTACTCCCCCAATAAACCACAGAAATGAAAGGCTAAATTCTCCGCTTCCTCCCATAAACTATACTAGTAAGAACCCAATAAGTTTAAAGGTTGGGCATTGGGGATCTAGGCCACTGTCTTCAGGGTTTAAGGTCCTCGGAGCCTCCCATCCAAGCTGCTGGACATAGAACTCGAGGCTCCGGCATTTGCCTCAGGTTTTCAAGAAGTAGAAACCCGAAACCATAAGTGGCAAGGGTTGTCAAAACACACAAGGGCAAGTGTCTTTGGGTTTAGGGTTTAGGGTTGAGCTTTGTAAGGGTTTAGGGTTAAGGCTTCAAAAGTTGTGGATTTAGGGTTTAAGGTAAGGGTACCCTCTTTCCTGCGGCAGAGTGTGTGGACTAGAACCCGGAGCAGCAAAAACGTAGTAGAAGGGTACTCCTCGGCAACCGAGTAGCAACCCGACATGCTGCAGCGGAAGCCACGCCGCGCATCGTGGGCCTCCACCTGTTGGGCTTTAAAGGTACCCTAAACCCAAATCCTACACTCTCAATCCTAAGCCCAACACTCTGAATCCTAAACGCGAAATCCCCAACTCTGAATCTTAAGCCCCTGACGCTTGACCCTAAGCCCTACATCCTAAGCCTTCTTACATCCTCAAATTTCTCGCCCATCGGCTAAGGAAGAAATGACTGGCGAACGCCAAGGCCCTAAACCAGCAGCTCTACATGGGAGTGCTCTACATGGGAGTTGCCGAAAATAGGGGACCCTAATCTAGTACCCTAACTAGTAGGATCCTCACTCTAAGGACCCCCCAAATAAGGTACCCCTTTTTTTTTGGAAACCCCCACATGGGAGTTGCCGAAAACTAGAGTGTCGGACCTTGTGGCCGCAGAGGCAGCTGTGTTTCTTGGGTTTCAGGCGGCAGCAGACCGAGGAGCCTTCAGGGCACGTCCTCGGAAGCTGCGTTCCCCAAGGGACCATGTGGTTGCTTGGAGGGTCCCCTGTAATAGTGGTATTATAGGAATATAATAGGGCCCTAATATAATCCTATATAACCCTTATGGTCACTATTACAGAGTGCTTGGAGGGTCGGGGGACTTAGTAACTGGTTACTTTAGGGACTTATAAGTACCATAACCCCAATTAGGGTCCCTTTTAGGGTACTTATAAGTCTACTTACTAACTACTCACTAAGTCCCCCGACCCCCCAAGTGTAGGCTTTGTAAGAGGTTTGGGATTGAAGGTTTATAGGGGTTAGGGGTTCAGGATTTAAGGTGTTAAGGGTTTAGGGGTCTAATTAAGGGTTAAAGGGTTTAATTTAGAAGTCAAGCTTCTTGGGGTTTAGGGGTTTAAAGTTTAGACGTTTAGGGCCTTTTCTCAAGCTGCAATAGGGCTTTCTGCACATGGCAGGGGAAGTGTCGACCAGATCATGGTCTGCACTAGGACAATTTCTCTTCACTCAAACAGCACAAAGATCAATCACTCAGAAGGAGCTACTACCTATAGTCTCCATGTAGTTCCTTTCTGTCCATAAACCTGAACCCTAAACCGTTGTAAAATGGCCAAAGGCTTCTCTACGAAAGGCACTTTATGTTCAGGATTCGTTGGCTAAGCTGACAACCAGAGAACTAGGAAAGCATAGGGTAGTGTCGAAACATCCACCAAAACCGTCTAGGATACCCAGTAACCTAAGAATAAAAAGGCCTCTCTTTTTGGTATTGGGTAACTTTATAAGGAACCTAGGACTAAAAAAAGGGAATAAGGGTACTACTGGGCATCCCAGCCGTTCTTGTGTGCAAATACGCAGACCGGGATTGGCCTCGCATGGTAAGACGAGGGAAGTGGGACTGTGCCGTAGCTACTATTTGCTTAAGAAACCCCCCAAAAAAACAAAAATAATAATCCCTATATTACCGCCATAAGGATTTTGTTTTTATTTTTTGGTGGTTCTTAATCAAATAGTAGGTTGGGTTTTTGATCAGAAGAGGTCTGGGTGGCCGATATCCAAGTTGGCGAATGGATGCTCTGAGGAAATGACGAGCTCCGCGTGGACGTTATCATAGTCACGGCGGGCCCATGGATATCCATAGATGCTCTGGGGAAAGGATGGGGTCTATAGGTGGACATTACAATGGTTGACCCCATGGATGCTCTGGGGGACGGATGATGTTTGGGTGGGTGGACGTTCTCGGGCACTATTCCCAACGGTACGTTTCCAATATGTCAGCTGTTTATGCATATCCTCTTGCAGAATTTTGGTCAATAAAACATTTAACTCTGACGGTCATGTAAAGCATGATGCGCGCGGCTCTTCTCAAGAGAAGCAAGCAGCAGCACAGAGTTTTCTTTCTCCCAACCACCCAACCCTGAATTCATTCAGGCATCTCGCAGAATGAAAGCAGCCGAAAATCGTACTAGTCCTACAAAAAAGGAAAAGGTGTGAGGCCAACACAACTTGAATTCCAAAGCTTATGCCGACACGGCAACGGAATGCAACAGTTGGTGTAGATTCGTCTTAATCGATTCAAGTAGATCCACAGGGTCGATCGGTGAAGATGAAGGCAACGAGTTGTCACTTCGCACACAACCCTAAACCCTAAACCCCTAAACCCCTAAACCCTAAACCCCCTAAACCCTAAACCCCTAAACCCCTAAACCCTAAACCCTAAACCCCCTAAACCCTAAACCCCCTAAACCCTAAACCCTACTGTTGCCGTCGCTGTTCGAGCTAGACCTGCTCGAAACCTCTGCGTGTGCTTGCACGAAGTTGACGAAGCTCCGGGGAACAGCAGTCGTAGAGAGTTTGCAGTCTTTTCCACAAGTTTCACGCAAAAAAGTTGCGGGGCTCTAAAGATATAGGTAGGTAATTCTAGGCTACAGTAAATCGCTATTCATTGTTCCTTTCGTTCGGGCTTAAAAAGAAATCGAAACGGCAGTTGTCTGGAGTTTGAGTCCCTTCCACAAGTTTCACACAAAGATGGTGCGGGACTCCAGAACTCTAAAGATCTATATGGGTAATCCTTAGGCTACTAGTAAGTCGCTATTCAGTGTTCCTGGCGTTCGGACATAAAAGGACGTCGAAACGGCAGTTGTATGGAGTTTGCAGTCCCTTCCACAAATTTCACACAAAGATGTTGCGATGTCGCGGGACTGCAGGACTTTAGTAACACAGTTTTGAACTCGGAGTTGTAGGGAGTTTGCAGCCCCTTTTACAAGTTTCATTCACACAAAGACGGGGCTCCAGAACTCCAAAGGTCTATATAGGTAATCCTTAGGCAACTGGTAAGTCGCCACTTCCCATGTTTTAGGGTTCTACCCTAGCCACGGTTCCAGGAAGCAGCTCGTGCGTGTCTATAGAATTCAAATCTTTTTCTGCGGGCTTGTCGAGACCTGGAATCATTGATGCATACAATCAGCAACTTTTTTTGAACATGCGGCTCTTGCCTTGCAAACGCGCGATGGCTATATATAGGCAAAACAACTGTGGTAAGGCAACTGCGTCTATGTGTTGCTCCGTAATGACAGCACCTCCAAAGGAAACACAAGCAAAGTTTCGGTGCACGTTGTTTTGAGAATGGCCTCGTCAAAAAGTTCAGGCGTGACATAAAGGTTCTTCGTACAGAGTTATATGGTTTTCCCATGGATGCTCTTGGGCAAGCAGGAAACTACCAGGTTTTGTATGTGCCTGCTTCCTTTACATCCCGTATAGAACTTTTCTAAACCCGAAACGCTTAGCCTTAAACCCTAAACACTGAACCCTAAACCCTATAAGCCCTAACCCTAAACCCTAACCCTAAAGGCCCTTTGCAACCCTACCCTAAGGCTCCATGTTCCCATATAGTAGATACTTAGGCCTTAAAGTGCCTATATAGGGACCCGTTTAAGGCCTAAGTACCTACTATATGGGTACATGGAACCTTTGGGCTAACCCTAAACCAGAGAGGAGGGCTCGCAGTCCCGGAAGCTTGCAGCGCCAGACGCACTGAAAAGCTTGGCCGGAAGCCAGCGCCTCCGCTGTCGAGAGGTCGGTTCGGGTCCGAAATAATTCCTTTAAAGGGATCCTTATAGGGTTCTTTTAAAGGGGTCTACAAGGACTACTATAAGGGATCTATAAGGGTGCTATGAAATAGGGGCCTAAACAATTACCAATAGTATTCTGAGGGGATCTTTCTTATAGAGAAAGTATACTATGCCCCTAAACCCCGTTCTAATTATTATGGCCCCTGTGATAGTTCAAAGGAAACAGCTGGGGGACAGACTATCTTTGATGTTCTCCGGCACACGCCGGAGTATGGTCCCGGTGACGATTGTTTTATGTGGTAATTCTTGGAAAGGTGGCCCTTGGGCAGTTCTTCTAAGCACGGTTTAGGGTTTAGGGTTTAGGGTTTAGGTTTTAGAGTTTAGGGTTTAGGGTTCAAGTTTACGATCTCGGGCTTGGGGAAGTGTGGTTGCAAGTACTTTTCTTGGGGTTGTACGAAGTCATAACTGTCACAACCTCACTTGCCAAGTCCCATGATCCTCCACGTACCCTCGGCTCTGGCTGGCCATATGTCCGAAAATAGGGGACCCTAATGTAATACCCTCAATAACAGGATCCTTATTATAAGGACCCCAAGATAAGGTACCCCTAATTTTCGGCAATTCCCATATGTGAGCAAAACGCACCGGCAAGTCAGAGCCAGGATTTCGGACTCCATAATACGCACTTTAGGGTTTCGGGCTTCATAAGGCCATGGGTAAGCCTTGATTCATAAGTTGTTGCTCGGGCAGTCTAAGCTTACATGAAGCCGAGGTAACTGGATTCTTAGCCGTAGCCTCATTCCGCAAGGCGCTGTAAGAGCTGTATAAGGGCTTAGGGTTTCGAAGATGACCTGATTGAGTATCAGGAAGTACCGCAAGGATGCTCCACTACAGCACAGCTTATAAGCCCGAAATGAAACAGAGATAATCATGGTCCGATGCCTGAAGGAGCAGGGGACTTAGTATATATGCTTCATACTGACAGATACCGCTAAACCCCTAAAAACCGAACCCTACAACCAGAAAACCCGGAACCCCAAAGCCTAAAGCCCTTAATCCCAAGCCCTGCTAGGTGGATATTAATTATACTGTAAATTATGTAACATATTATTATATACCATCCCAAGCCCTGCCAGGTGGTCCTGCCTCTGCGGACATTGGGCCCAACCAGCCGCGGGGATCGAATTGGTCAGAGCCAAAGTGCGTCCCGAAGAAGTGTTTGTCCAGCCTCGACAACGGAGAAATGGCTTCCTGAAAAGGTTTGGGCTTTTGAATTAATTAGAAGGGTCACCACAATGGGTTCTATAACGGTGCTGCGACGTAGGCACAATCATATGAGGGTTCTATAACGGTTCTATAACATACGAGCCTCATTACCTTCAATAAAGGTTTTGGAGTCTTGTATAGTAAACCAGTACAGGGACGATCAAGAAGAAGAAATCAATCCTACTGTATCTGTTCAAGCCAATGTTTATACCAGGTCGACATTGACTGAGGATAAGGTGCTCTGGGCTCAGCGGCGAGAGTTTGGGATAAACCTGTCAATTGCGGCAGTTGTGTATCCGTCGAAAACAGACATGCAAATACTTAGCAGAAGTGCAAGTGCGGATGGGTATGTGTATAGACTGTATGTATAATATAATATGCATATATACATGTATGTATGGGGCTCTCATACATGCATCAAGAGCACTGTCACTTTTGGCGAGACTGTTTATCACGGCGACGGCAGCGACAACGACCAGTCGCAGAATCATTGCCAAACTAAAAAGCATCCAGACAGCCAGCATGCAAAACTGACGCATGCCAAGTACTGTTGGGTGGCATGTAAGCTGCAACCCGAGAACAAACGACATGATACAATGCACGGCGAGATTTGCATGTGTGCTTTTCTGCAGACTATCATAGGCACGGTACCATGGCATGGCAAAGGAACATCCTGGACATCTCCTGCCAAGGTTCAAGTAGTTTTGGGGCAAAAGCGCATCAACAAAAAGGCTTCGCAGGGGCTTTGTAAAGACTTTCGGTGGCGGCAGGGATTCATGGTTTCGGGCTTGAGGCTTTCACCTTACAATTCAGTGGTCATAACCTAATGTAAGGTTTAGGGTCTGTAGGGTTTATGGATCGGCGTTTGGGGTTCAGGATTTAGTGTTTGTGGTCCTAAACCTCAAAGCTCAGATTCCCAAACACCAGACCCTGAACATTCCTGAACCCTCAACCCTTCAGAATCCTTGACACCTTTTACTTTAGGCACCCGGATCCCCTTCAATTCCATATGCAACGATATAACCTGTAAACTCTCCCAAATCCAAAACCACCCGAACGCCTTAACAGCCCTACATGTCGACCCTCTAGAAGCTCCAAAATCCACAACCACCCTAAACTCCACGGCTGTATCCACAACTACCCTAAAGGGAACTCCAGAAAGTCGGAATATGGATTAATGGTAGGATCCCCTATAATTTACCTTAAAGGGGTTACGATAATGATATTCCAACTTTCTGGCTTCTACTGTAAACCTTAAACCCTACGGCGCCTCTCGCTTTCGCTGACGCTGCTCCGGACGCTCGGGGGAGCTGGTGGCCGGGTCAGGAGCACCTCCAAGGCCTTGGCAGGGTTCTTGTTGCGAAGTTTATAGGGTTTTGGGTTTAGGGTTTAGGGTTTAGGGGTTTAGGGTTTAGGGTTTAGGGGTTTAGGGTTTTGGGTTTTAGGGTTTTGGGTTTTAGGCTTAGGGTTTATATTGAGTTCATGTACCTATAGAGAGATACATGGGCGCCTTAAAGTACCTATACAGGGACTACATTAGGGCCCCAATGTATCTACTATATGAGTACATAGACCCTTCGGGTTGAGCTACCATAACAAGGAAAGCAGTACATGATTTACTATCTGCCCCTGGTCTGGTCACGTAAATTCATGCCGTCTCCTAAAAGGCCCTGCGAGCTCTCAACCCGAAATACAGCCAGAGATCCCAATACCCCCTAAGTAAGGAATACCTAGGCTTCCTTTAAAGGGATCCGTAAGGGTTCCTTTAAGGGAAAAAGCCCTACCACAATCCCCAACGCCGCCCGAGTCGGCCTCGCCGAGTCGGATGAACTCCTCCTGGCGATCCGGCACTTTGTCCGGATGGCATTTCCTGGCTTAGGGTTTTTGAAATATTGAGGCTTAGGGTTTAGTAGTTTAGTGGTTTAGGGTTTAGGGTTTTTGTGGGATTAGGGCTTAGGGTTTAGTAGTTTAGTGGTTTAGGGTTGTTGAGGGTTGGGGGCCATTGGGGGCTTATAGGGTTTGGGGTTTTGGAGTCTGGGGCGAATAGGGCTCAAGCAGTCAATGGGCGAGAAGGAGGGGTTTATGAATGCTTCGCTGGGGTTCTATGGCGTTGCACGGAGCTTCGTAGGACTTATCGGGCATCTGTTGGAGTTGACAGGCCTAGGTACTGCGGGTTGCAAGGTGTCACAAGGGTTGAAACCAGGTGTTCCTGACCCTAGACCCTTGAAGGGATCGTTTTGACTACATAGGACCCATCTACTGCAGCTGCAAGCCCACCAAAAAACAAGACCTCCTAACTGCAGGTCCTTAAGCCAGACCAGGCAGGACCATGAAATATTGAATCCACAACAAGGCGGGCTCAAAACCCCAAACCCTAAAACCCTAAACCCTAAAACCCTAAAAACTTAAAACCCTAAACCCTAAAACCCTAAAACCTTACAACCCTACAACCCTGAAGTTCAAGGCTCGGGGCTCGGGGTTGCTTAGGGTCTGCTTGTGGGCGTCCTCTCAGCCTCTGAGTCGGCACCCTCGATTAAGCCTATCTTGAAGAACAGAGCGAACCCGGCAGGAGACTTCAGTTCAGTGAGGCTCGCTCTCTCCTCCATCGACATACCTACTACGAGTCGTACTGTTGGAGCCCAGACTCGCGCTCTCCTGGAAACGAGTTACCTGCAAACCAGCAAACCCTAAACCCTACACCCCAAAACCCTAGAACCCTAAACCCTAAAACACTATACCCTAAAGCCTAAAGCCAAACCCTAAACCTTTCACCCGCAAGCCTAACACTGACACACTCTTGTCATGGAGCCCTTGGCCCTAAATCTCAAGGCCTTGAGCCGAATCGTCTCCAACATGGAGCCCTACAATGTAGCATAGTGGGGGGGGGGGCGAGGCTAAATCGAAGAGACAATTTACGAAATACTGCGACTCATTATTCAGTAAAACCCTAAACCCAAAACCCTAAAACCCCTAATCCCCTAAACCCTAAACCCTAAAACCCTAAAACCCTAAACCCTAAAACCCCTAATCCCCTAAACCCTAAAACCCTAAAACCCTTAAATCCCTAAACCCTAAAACCCTAAAACCCTTAAATCCCTAAACCCTAAAACCCCTAAACCCTAAACCCTAAAACCCCTAATCCCCCAAACCCTAAACCCTAAAACCCTAAAACCCTAAAACCCTAAACCCCTAAACCCTAAAACCCTAAAACCCCTAAACCCTAAACCCTAAAACCCCTAAACCCCTAAATGCCCTAAACCTGATTATTCAGATTCTTCCATCGAAGCCCAAGGCTTTCCCTTCTTCTGCGGTGCCTCGCAGCTTCGCGATAGGCTTTTCGGAACTCCTCCTGAGCTTTCAGTGATCTGCCCAGAGGCCCCATAGTAGTTCCTTTTTGGGATTACCTAATAAGATTCTATATACGAACCCCAAAAAGGAACTACTTTGGGGCCTTTGGGTGGCTAATCTTGGACCTTAGTAGCTAAAGTAGGGTTTTGGGGGATGGCTTTTTATCGACACTGTTTCGCCTTCTTGGTTCGGTTGCCCAGTGACCCCTGCGCAACGAAAGTCCCCTTAAAGACTCTTCGGTCTAACCGGGAGCAGCCCAGCAGAAAGGATCTACGGGCACCACTTGCTTGTGAGTTTGGCTTAGAAGCGTGGTTGGATTTAGGACATTTAGGGTTTAATTATGCATGATTTACAGTCTGGGGTTCGGAGATCTGCGCAATTAGGACATATCGGTATAAGAACAGCCGATGCCATAGTCCATAAATAACCAGGTTATCCTGTCATCCTCTAGCATTTTTGCAACCTTCCCAGCATTCTGATCAGAGTAATTCAGGGTACCTGTTTCTTCATGACCCCAACGAGCCGTTAGTAGCAATGCACAAAGGGTAGCACTGTGGGACCCAGATTGTGGGCTTGTCTAGAGTTGACCTGCATGAACCCTCACCACTTCAAATCGCATGTCTAAGAGGCATGCACGCATCTCTCTGTAAGATTATGCCTAAACCCTTTATCCCTGAACCCTCAAGCCCTTGAACACAAGCACTAACGCCCATTGGTTCAATTCTTGGCCAGGGCTGCAATGTACGGTGCTGAAAACCGAAGTAAAGCCCTGTACACTCTACCTCCCAAAGCATCATGTCAGCGATCCCCCTGTCCCAGCTTAAATATAGAAGGTCTTAGGGTACATTACAGCATATTCATGATAAGGAACCCTACAGACAACCGAATAGTACTCGTAACTATTCAAACCCTGAACTTGAGCATGAATGCGCACCCTAAACGTTAATCCCTGCAGGCTGCGGCAAACAGCCCCAAACCCGCGCCAGACACGAAGAGCTGTTAAACAAGCGTAAAGAGTCTGCTACCCGAGAGCTACCACACTCCCAAACCTTAAGACCTCGAAACAGCAAAATCAAGAGCCACAGATTCAATCTGGACCTGATGCTACATCCTGAAATTGGAACGATACAGCCCCTAAGCTCGAAGAATCTCAACCCTCACAAGCCCTGAACCACAAAGTTTGTACATGCATGTGTGTAAAGGACATGGAGTGCATGTACAGAGGTATGTGCTTGCCTAGTTGTATTTACATACGTAACTTTATGTACTGCAGAGAAGTATCTCTGTGCGAATAATATATCACATATATACATATATACAAACATATATATATATATATACATATATATATATATATATATATATAATATATATGTATGTAGAGAAGGTCGTCTATATCAGGTTACATTGTTCATTAATGAGTCAACATTAACCCTCAACCCTCAACCCCTTAATGAATCCATATTACCGTGCCTCCCCAGCACCCACGGGGACACCCAGCAGCGAAGCTGCGGCGGTCGGGCTCGGTGCCATCGCTGCTGCAGCTAAATTTGCTGACGCTACTTGTCTCAAAGGGGAAAAGGAAGGACCCTTAATGGGGACCCCTATCCTATAATGGGCTATATAATGGGTATATAATAGCTATATTCAGGGTATATACATAGGGGTCCTTCTTCAGGGTCCCTCCTTGTACCCTTGGATTGTTAGACCATTGTCTTGTGGGAAACCGTAAACTCGTAACCCTAAAGCGGGTTCAAGTTCTCGGGGTTTTAGACTTTCGGAGTTCATAAGCGCTAAAGCGTGGTTCATGTCCTTGGGTTTTGAAAGCGATACTCTATAGGCTTCAAACCGAACCCCCGTCAAGACTCTCTTATAACTAGGATACCCAGTAACCTAAGAACAAAAAGGCCTCTCTTTATGGTATTGGGTAGCTTTATAAGGAACCTAGGACTACAAAAAGGGAATAAGGGTACCACTGGGCATCCTAGATAACCAGTTTTTTGGAAAGCCCTGGGCTTCCGGAGTTGCCTGAGTGGGGGAATAACCAGCCTACACCCCACACCCTAACTCGGGCTCTTGTTATACTAAACCCTATACCCTAAACCCTAAACCCTAAGGAGTTGAACTTAAGAGACTCTGATATGGATCTGTAGCAAACCTTTGAACACTAAAGCTTCCTGACTGGTAACTTCCAGGTATCGGGAGGGCGTAGGCGTAGGGTGTAAGGCATGGAGCTCAAGGTTAATAGGGTTTAAGGCTTAAGGTTGAGGGTGTGAGCTTTCATAGATGATTTTCCAGGCTAAAACTACCTACCCGAAAGCCACAGCTACACACGGAAGGAAGCTACGCAGGCTACCAACGAGGGAGGTTTTCGGATGGTATGGGGTTCAGGGTCCCCAGCCCGAAGGGTCCATGTAGGGGGTTCCAAAATTAGGGCACCTTATTTTGGGGTCCTTATAATAAGGATCCTACTATTTAGGGTACTACATTGGGGTCCCCTATTTTCGGAAACTCCCATGTAGGTTACGACTAGAAGGGGTCTGACCAAGGAATTTTGTCAGTCGCAGCATTGGATACCCCAAAGGCCGCAAAGTAGTTCCTTTTTGGGCTTCGTATATAGAACCCTATAAGGTAATCCCCAAAAGGAACTACTATGGGGCCTCTGCTTGGAGGGTCGGGGGACTTAGTAACTGGTTATTTTAAGGACTTATAAGTACCAGCCCCAATCAGGGTCCCTTTCGGGGTACTTATAAGTCTACTTACTAACTACTTACTAAGTCCCCCGACCCCTAAACCCTAAACCCTAAACCCTATACTACCCTTATGGAGCCCTTTAAAGGAATCCTTAGAATACCCTTTAAAGGAACCCTTAGAATCCCCTTTAAGTATGGGGCCTCTGGGTACAAGGAGCCTAAGGCCGGGCAAGAAGGTTCACTTGGGGTGTCTTTAGGGGACTTAGTAATCGGGCTCCTTCAAAGGGGATTGTAAGGGTTCCTTTAAACTTTAAAGGGCCCTATAAGGGTAGTATGAGGTTTAGGGTTTAGGGACTTCGTAAGTAGTTAGTAAGTAGACTTATTAAGTACCCTAAAAGGAACCCTAATTGGGGTTATGGTACTTATAAGTCCCTAAAATAACCAGTTACTAAGTCCCCCGACCCTCCAAGCAGGGTCCAGAGGTTGAGAAGTTCGGGGCATCAGAGATGTCACCGAGCGCTCCTTCTTGGTATGAAGTCATCCTTTGAAGAGGGGTTCACATGGGCTAAAGCTTAAAGCTTTCGAGCCTACCTAAACCCTGAACCTAAAACCAGAAAACCTGAAGAACGTACTTCGTCTGAGGACGTTAACCCTAACGCAACAGCAGCTCAAGCGATTTTCGTCCGTTGCTTCTCTGGCCAGCCGCTCGCACTCCATCTTGTACACCTTGGCCTGTGCTTTTCTGTACAGGTTTAGGGCAGGGTTCTATATATGGGTTTCTTAGTTGCTGAGTTCATAGGCCCCCAAAATAAGTGTACACTTTTAGCTTTACAGTAGGTAGCACTATCCAAACATGTCTAAAGCGTTTCCACTCAGCTACTAAGGCTTTACACAGGCTACAGGCCTGCACTTCAAGGACCGGAGGACCTAAACGAGGATCTGCAGTGCCCTAAACCCTAAACCCGAGTCTCAGTATCATTACCCTAAGGCTCATAATGGCCCAAAAGCCAAACATAGTATGGTCTTTAGGCCCAAAAGCCTCAAAATATATGAGTCCTCAGAGCCTTAGGGTTACGAAGTTCCTGAAATCTGGGGCTTGGGGGCCCTAAACCTCAAGCCGTGCTATTTGCGGCTTCAAGGACTACGGGTGTCGGTATGAGGCTTACTTACTGAAGTTACTAGGAATTCTTAGCAGCTGGAGTTTACGGCCTCAAATCAGCACTTAGAGCATGTAGCTTGGCTCCGCAAGAGCCCGTGACTTTGTCGGGCTAAATCGGACAAACACCCAAAACGTTTCAAAGCACCTTCGTTGTACGAAGTCGGGTTTCTGTGAGCTGTTCGGCTTTGGAGCCTTCAACCCGAAACCCTGACCCCAAAACCCCTCCGCACAGCCGCAAACCTAAACTCCTTCAACTGCAGCTTCCACCACAAGCTTCTCAAGCTGCGAGTCCCTGCCGCCATACAACGTCCTCATGATCCTCAGGGTGGATGGTTTGCAAGCCAGTTCTTTGCCCACACAGGATATCTGTGTTTGATGGCCTCCGTTAAGCAGCCGCCCACGTCCCAAAATGGAGAGATGCTTTGAAGACTGGTCGCCAGGCTGGTGGTGTTCGTGGTTATCGCCCTGTGGGTGCAAGTCTTTAGAGACTTTCGCTGCTCTCACTCGATTTAATCAATCCAGGCCAGGGACGACCCCGAAACAGCCTTTCGCGCTCTCCAGATCATGCTTGGTGTCCGCCGCCCCACATAAGACTAGGCACCGCCCAGGAAGGAGACACATCCGGAAGTTGCAGGAGATCTCATGTTTGGAAGCATGCGCACATGTTCTTTCAGGGTTGGGGGAGATGATGATAAACTCGCTGAGCTGATCGCGTGGCCGGCCACGGCCCCGCCCGTGCCGTTTCAGAGCCCCAGGACCTCGCCTGAGGGCGTCGTTGGCGTGACAGGGTCCAGTATGTGGATGCGTTGAAGTATGGGCTTCTGGGATATAAACCTGCGATTATAGGGCTGAGGGCTTACCGGTATCCCCAAACCCTACAAAACGGAAGGTTATGATCCCGTAATTGTAGGGTCCAACCCCTAGATTCCTAGAACAGTATAGAGGGTTTGGGATGGCCAGGTAGGGCTTGGGCTCAGGCGTCAGGCTTCTTCCTTTGCGTTTGGACAAACCCAATCACAGCCCACCCCTGTCAACCCTAAAGCACTGAACCCTAAGACCCTTAAACACCAGGACTACCAACCCTAAAGCCCTCAACCCTCAACCCCAAACCCTACAACAAAACACCTAAACCAGAGACAACTTAAACCCTAACCCCACCCCCATGAAACACCCACCCTAAACCTGAAACACCAACACCCTGCAACGCGCAAGCGCTAAACCAACAAACACTCGATCCAAAACTACGAATACCCACAGACCATTGAACACCGAAACACCAAAACGCCCAAACCACACACCTAAAACCTATGACCTAGATTACCTGCACCCAACAACCCTGAACCCCTGACACCGCAAATCCTGAACCCACCCAAGACCTTAACCCGCACACTCGTAACGCTTATCATCCCGCAAGTCTAAACCCTAAACCTCCCAACCCCACATGCTAAACCCTACAAGTACTTAGTTAAAAGCCCAAACCCTGGGCCCTAAAGCTCTTAACCCCAAACCCTAGAGCTTGTAGTCCTAAGCCCTACAGCCCGAAACCCTCAAACCCTAAACCCTGTATAGGAACCCTTATGGATCCCTTTAAAGGAACCCTATAGGCCCTATGGATCCCTTTAAAGGAATCCTCATCTAAACTCCGGCCTAAGCCCCCGAACCCTACGACTTCCAGAGACGCCTCGCGTGCAAAAAGATGCTCGAAGCGGTCGATGGAACCCTCCTGTTCGGGTTTAGGGTTTAGGGTTTAGGGCTGCCCAAAAGGGTCCTACCCAGAGATCCCAATACCTCTTAATTAAGGAATATACCTTGACTCATAATATCCAGGCCTAAGGTATATTCCTTTCTTGAGGGGTATTGGGTTCTCTGGGCTGTTAGGTAGGGGTTTAGGGCTCCTTTAAGGGATCCTTCAAGGGTTCCTATAAGGGATCTATAAGGATACTATCCCTGGGGTCCTAGGTACTGCTACCGGGGATACTTCTCCAAATCATAATCGTAATTCCTCATATAGGGACCCTACATTCGACTATATCGGTACTTACGGCCCTTTGGGATCCTTCGATTGCGAGGGAGTTTATATGGGATATCCCGAATCCTACCTATAAAGGGAACTCCAGAAAGTTGGAATATGGATTAATGGTAGGATCCCCTATAATTTGCCTTAAAGGGGTTACGATAATGATATTCCAACTTTCTGGCTTCTACTGTAGTCTCCATTGTAGTTCCGTTTTTTGGTAAACCCAAATCCATCATTTCGGATCCTAACCATAAAACTGGTTAACCAAAACTACACTGGAGACTGTAGGTAGGCCCCAAAACCCTTTCTTAACCCTTTAAGGACCCTTATCGAACCCTGATAGGTCCCCTTAAAGGGCTTCATTATAAGGAGTTTATTGTAGACTGCAACCCTAAACCCTAAATCCCCAACCCCTAAACCCTAAACCCCTAAACCCAAAACCCCTAAACCCTGAACCCTAAGCCCCTAAACCCTAAACCCCTAAACCCTAAACCCCAAACCCCTAAACCCTAAACCCTAAACCCCAAACCCCAAAACTCTAAAGCCCCAAATTGTTGCTTTTTGGGGCCCCTAGAGAAGTCCGGGAGTTCCACGGTGATCTCCGCGCCGGCCACATCTAGGAAAGAGACACCTTGAGTTTAGGGTCGAGGGCTCTTTGCGTGTT